GCATGATTTCCCCTTGGTGAATCCATGTTGACTACTCCTGATGACCTTCTTTTCCTCCACTTGCTTAATGATGACCTCTAGAATGAGCTCCTCCATCATCTTTCCTGGGATGGAGGTGAGGCTGACCGGCCTGTAGTTCACTGGGTCCTCCTTCTTGCCGTTTGTGAACATTGGAGTGAGATTGGCTTGATCCTCAGGCACCTCTCCTGTCCTCCAGGACCTTTCAAAGATGATGGAGAGTGGCTCAGCAATGATATCTGCCAGCTCCCTCAGCACTTTTGGGTGCATTCCATCGGGGCCCATGTGTTTGTGAGCATCCAGATTGCTTAAATGATCTCTCACACAATCCTCCTCGGCCAAGGGAAGGTCATCCTTTCTTCAGGCTTCCCTCTGTTACCTTCAGGGCCTGGGATTCCTGAGGGCCGGCCTTAGCAGTGAAGACTGAGGCAAAGAAGGCATTCAGTAACTCTGCCTTTGAAACTTTGAAAGGTCATTATTTCTCTCTGCTAGTACATGTTAATAGAAGATCAAAACAGGTTTGAGTTCTTGAAGTTTTTTCTAGATCTTACATCATTTTTTGTAATACTCTGTCATGGTTCCTAGGAATTCATAATGCTGTCTTCTAGATTCAAACGTTATTTAAAATGCTATATTAAATAAAAACAAAGTGAGGCTTGCTCCTGCTATGTCAAATTAATATAAACAAATAATTCTAGACATACATTTGTACTCAAACTGTGATAAATAATCAGGAGGAAATTCTGGCACGGACTTCCTATGAAAGCTCTGGTTTGTATTTGCTAGATATTAAGAATTCAAGAGACTCTGTGTGTGTGATACTTAAAAATTTGGAGATCTCCGTGTTTGAAGAAATTCAACACTTTTCAGAGAAGTACAGTACATGAATCAACATTGTAAGATATTTCAAGAAAGGATCCTGCTGAGTGCTGTTTCAAATATTGGAACAATATGTTACCTCGTAGCAATCTTTCAAGAATAGTTTGTGCAGTGTCTTTTGGACAGATATTTTTATACTTGCATAAGTTTCCAAATCAAACTGTGGGCACAAAATAGCCTGATTTTCAGAGGTGCAGCACTTGAACTTTTAAAAATCATATATATTAATGGTAAGAAAACGATTTGTCAGTTGTTTTACGTGTTCTGTCTTGTTAATGTTGGTATTTTTGAAGAGGAGTTGGAAGAGGGTTTTTGGTCTGTTGTAAACAATGTTTAGCTACTCACGATGATAAATGGAATCAAGAACATAGACTAGAAAGAAAGTAGTGATGCCTTTAGAAAGTACAGCTCTAGAACAGGGAAACAGAAAAAGCAATATGGGAGGGAGGAAGAGAGGCATAAGTGTTTGAGAGGAGGTTAGAGATAGGGAAAATGGAAAGGGGGGGGGGGTAAAAAAAAAAAAAAAAAAAAGTGGGAAAAACACCATGAGGCAATTCAGTGTTACCGGAAGCATGGAGTAAATAACAAAGCATGCCTTTGTTCTGGAGCAGTAATGCGGCAGCCCTCTAACCCAACGGTTTTCCAGCAGTAGTCCTTTGCTCCTGATTTTCTGACCTTTTTTATTTTGTATCACTACTTGTATTGTGAGGCACAGCTAAGGAAGCATCCAGTACAGGCTCAAGTAACAGTGCCTTTATATGATTTTTTTTTTTTTTTTTTTATCAAGGATGCGTAGGAAAATCTGGGAGGAATTATGAGGATGGTCCTGGTGATCTATTTTAAGCACTATTGTAATGCATCCATGGAGTTTAGATGGAGTGTGACTGGAACCAGTATAAAATGGAGGAAATTAGTTTTAAAGCAAGAGAGCTGGAGTGTGCTGAAGCCTGGATTTTGTCCTGAAATGTGGAAGTAATTGTTTTACTGCAGATATAAAATATGATTGTGATTAATTACTTTGAAAGATGACATGCAAAGCAGAGTTTGTTCTGGAGCATGTAACAACTTAGCAGGGGCATTCTGACTCTTGCAGAAAGAAGTGGAAAATTATAGGTAAGTGTGAAGGATTGGAACCTAAGAAGTGTTGCATGGCCCAGCAGGCCAACCGTATCCTGGCTGCATCAAAAGCAGCGTCGCCAGCAGGTTGAGGGAGGGGGTTCTGCCCCTCTGCTCTGGTGAGACCCCACCTGGATCCTGACCCCAGCTCTGGAGCTCCCGCCATAAGAAGGACATAGAGCTGTTGGAGCAAGCCCAGAGGAGGGCCACAAAGATGATCCAAGGGCTGGAGCACCTCTCCTATGAGGAA